TGACCCTCAGCCAACAGCTCATCCCCTCTCGCAGAGCAGCCCTGCTCTTGCTGCTCCCTGACAATGCTCCAGCCTGTCTTTGGGCGAATCCAGCTGACACTTGCCTAAATGCAGAACGAGCAGTGCTGGTTGCTGCTGCAACTATTCCTTCTGGAGCTACTCAGGCCACTTTTCACATGATCAGACAACACTCCCTTCAGCCTTAAGCATGGTGAATCCTGGGAAGCACTTGCAGGTTGAGACAGGAAAAGACAGAAGCTGTTGCCACCCTCCTGTCCACACTGACAAGGTCCTTGAGGGTAAGGCAAGAGGTATCCTTCAGAGACTGAAGCACACAAGCAGAAGAGGTGGAGCAGAGTCTGAGCACACTACCACAGCAACTTGCTCTCCAGTTAAACTTCAAAGAGATAAGAATGCAGATGCTGATCCAGCCCAGGGCAATGTGAATTGGCCATAGGAGGTTATATACATCCCTCCTATTTCACTAGAGAATTCATCAGGTGACCAGGGAGAACAAAAGCAGAGTCTTAAGCAGCCTCCTCTTCTGGTTCCATAGAAAGGATGCTGGTTTGGCCCTAGATCCTGATCCAAGATGAAATTTGTCATTGACTCATGAGCCTTGCATTTCCTCTCCTATTGTCTGAAAGCCAATTTCAAAGTTGTTTTCACAGCCCTTTGTGACGTCCCAGTGCAGCTGTGCTAAATTCCAACGTGAAAGCAAAGAAATTAAAGGGAATTGGGATCAGAGCAAACATTAAAGGCCTTCAGAAGAGATTTTCTTCTGCAAAGTGTTGATAGACAGAGAGCCCATCTTGGTGGACCCACAAGAGACAGTCCCCTCTGCAGCTCAGTTGGGGACAGTGCAGACAGAACAGCCTCAGATAAGAACCTTTATTAAAGCCCTTAAACCTTGCTGGACCATACCTGGCACCCTGCTTTTCACTTTATTTCAGCCTCTACTGGCAGGCAACTCTTTTACTGAAGTCAGGAAGGATCTTCCTGTCTGCAATGTGAGTAAACACAGGATAAGGACTTGACTTTTCATTTTTACTGACCTATAGTGAGTCCGTGTTTTGCTGCACTGCCTTTTCATACCACACATTCACACTTGGTTTCTGAGTCATTCCTAACTAATTCTGTGAGCTGGTGGGTAGTACATACCTTCGCACTCATCCCTTCCAGTTAACTGAACACCACTTTGTTTTAAAGTTTCTTTTATTTTTCTAGGTTATGGTGTTCTCTCTGTGCAGGATAAGGCCAAGGATGTCTGGCATTGCTCTAGTCTGAGAGCTTTAGTTTCAGCTTCATTTTTCACACCGAGTACAAATAAATCCCGACTTACCCAAGCACTGCCAGTGCTTGAAGCTGCTGCCCTTGACCACAGGACCTCCCATTATTTAGTCACAGCAAAAATTGTCAGGAGATACGTAAGAGGCTTCTTTAGATAAGAAAATCTTCCCTTATCCACCTCAGTCTCTACTGCCTGGTCACACAGATGAAGGATAACATCCCAATCTTCCAGCCTCGTGTGACACATCTCATATGCCAAGGGTGCATTAGGTTCTGCCTCTGAAGCTGTCCCTCATTCTCACCATGAAGACTGTGTTAAGGTGATTTCTACTATGTGCACCTCCTATGCACCTCTTAATCTCATCCCACCCTATCAGTACAGCCTCCTGCACTATCCAACCCTCCTGACCAGCAGGTGCTCAGCTAAAGGGACACACTGCAACTTGGCGTCTCATGTATTTCCTCCCAGATCTGGGAGGCAGTTTGCCTTCCCAAGTCTGAATGATCTGGACATGCCCTTGCACGCACTGGGAGACACAGGTTTCCACGGTGGAGCACCACGTTCCTGCAAAGCTGGTTTGAGCATATCTGGGAGTCTTGCTTCACACCAGGAGGGCCAGCTTTCAGCAGCTGCCAGAACTGATGTCAGACTCCACACGCAACAGAGCTTTCAAGTCTTTCTCAGCTCCTCTCTTCTCGTTTCACAGATATCCTGTAGACTTTGCACTGGGAAGGGAGGATAGCCATTATCTATTCATGGACAACATAGCCACCTCTGATTGTACTTCTCCACTTCCCTGTTCTCACTGAGACTAAACTAGGACAAAGCACCTCTGTAGTTTTGATCAATACCTACATAACAGAAACTCTTTTTAGTGAAAGACTGGAACGCCAGCTGCAACATACATCCTGGCTGCAGCAGTAAGACAATACATTACACCTCTGTTTGCAATTCCCTTTCTTTTCTTTACTGCCCTTTTTCAGCAACTGCCTCACCCTAAGGAAACATACATTGCCTCCCTTAGCTTTATTGCAAGAACCGGTTCTATAGATTTTATGTTTTATTAACACAGCCTTAGCTTACCAAGTAAATTAAACCTCACTCCTGTGGCTTTCACTGTCTAAAATATTTTCAAAGCTTTGTTATATTGTTTGTTTTTCCTTACAGTTTCTGGCCATTGTCCCTTTTATCTGGCTGGAATACCTATTGGTGCAACCTTTCCTCTGCCTCAAGAGAAGACAAGTATGCAAGAGGACAAGGATTAGTGGTCTTTGCTGTGGGACCAAGAGCTGTAGACCAGCTGTTCTCCTGGCCCTATAAGGAAGACTTCAGATCCCTGCGTGGCTGCCCTTGTGTGCTGATTCTCATGTCACAAAGAGCTGAGCGCCACAACGAAGAACAGACAGTACAAACACTTCTGTTGTTTGCTTGTATAAAGGTCAAATTAGAAAAAAAAAAAAAAAAAGAAAAAAGAGAGGGTGGGAAAATATACCGAGGGAGGACTGTGGCTGCAGGAGACAGAAATTACTCTGTCTAGAAAATGTCAGCGTGCCAAGAAGCAGCTGAAACTAATAGCTGCCTGATCACTCCAGGGCAGGCTCTGCCGTTCAGTCTTAGTCCCTCACTGGACCACATTCTAGTGCTTAGCAGAGCAATTCGACCATGTTAAGGCAGATCTGAACGTGGGGAAGGGGCCAGGTTTGATGCTTTCGGTGAACTACAGGACTGGAAGAGCTAACTTTGAGGAGCATCATGCTTATGTTGATGGAAGAGTACCAGGAGACTTACTTCCCTTTTTGGCCTCTCCAGAAGCACCCTGCAAGCTATAGTATGGGATATGAAGTAATTTATGAGCAAGATTTGTCCTTTTCATACAACATGACAATGTGGGTTTAACAAATTGAACTTTTGCCAGGACTTACTGGAAATAAGAAGCCTGGGACATGATGTGCAGCCCTATACAGTTAGGGCAATTCTTGCATCATCACCTAAAGTCTTCTAATACCTCATCACCCACTCACCACTTCAAAGTTTCACTCCTTCTGGACAGCTTTATGAATTTCCTAAGCCTCAATCTACTCTCAACTCCAGAAATCATAAGCCACAGCTGATTAAAATGAGGGGTAGTATACTAAAACTTACTGTCAAGTTTTAACATATTATACTGAGCTGGCTTTTTGGCTGCTTCCACTTTCACACCTAATCAATAGACTCTTATGGAAACCCTCCAGAGATCTTACAGTCCTCTCCTTAACTTTGGTTATTTGCAAATCACTGGGCACGTAAGCAATGAGCTGGGAAGCAGTGATACATAAGTCAGCCTTAGAAATGGCTTTTCACAGAAATAGGCTCAGAACCAGAAGGGTTGCTTATTCTTCCTACCCTGACATCACTGTACATCTCCCTTCTGCTTTCTCGCCCCACTGCTGCACACAGTCAACACTGCAGTCATTCAATGAAAGATCACAAATCCATATGTAGTGCCAATACCCACCCCAGTACATTACTGGCAGGTTCTGTGCAAATCAAATGCACTCTCCCAGTCTCAGATCACTAGGACTGATAAGGCATTCATGCTGCATAGTCCTTTACATATATTAAATACAATGCATTTCACATCCGGGACACATGAAATGTGTTCTGGGCCCAGGAAGTCTCTAACCTCTGTTGGGTAGGTCAGGGATGAAAGGTGACCCCTGAAAACCACCTAGTTCTTGTTGCCAACGGATCAGCTGCATCAAGATCCTTAGTCAAAGATGTTGGCAAGTCAGACTTTCTACCTCACAAGAAATCACAGTGTTCTGAAACGCTCGTTTTTTTCAATTCTTGCCAAAAAATACTTGTGATGTTCCTAAACCAAAACATGATTCAAAGGAGCTCCTGAGTAAAACTGAAGTATGAATTTCACCCCTGGAATTCAGATATGCAGAGGACAAAAATTCACAAAACACATCTTAATATTAGTTGAAATATTCAACTAAAAGAATGCAGCTTCAGGATCGCCTCACTGAGAAGCTGACCCTGCAGCCAGGCAGTACAGGTCCATTGGCTGAGCTTTCCCTCCTCCACATACGGTATCAGCAAATGGTCCACAGCCTTTGGAAGTCAAGTTGCCAGAGGGGCTCCCTGGCACTGTAGCTTGGCAGACCTGGGTCACAGCCAACCCCGTATCAAGGGGCTCCTTGGAGTCACAGATTTCATGGTACAACTTCAGCATAAGTAGGCTGTTAAAGGAGTTGGAAATGAAGCTGGCAGGAAGCCACAAAGGCCAGATTCAAAACCTTCCTGCCAGAGAGGATTTCACTGTAAGAGCTGAGGAACTGACACATTTCCTTACATGTTTTACTTTAAATAGAGACACTTTTCCAACAGAAAACTGGCCCCAGGTTCCATTATTGAAAGGCCTTGGAGTCTGATTCTGCAAATGCTTTGACTCACAAATAGTTTTCTGGAAGTGTGTAAAGTCACCACCTTACGCTCTCCCAGCATCATATGCCCATTTGCAGTGTTCACTCCAGAGACAGAGCTCCCTATGGTTGACTCATTGAATCATCACTGGTGGTTTACCTGGCACATGTCTGCCTAGTCTGCACGGTCGTCATCAGCATGCAGTCACATCACCCCCCTTGAAACAACATTCAAGACATGAAGCAGATGAAGCTACATCTGTGACTACATCTGCATGAAACAACATATGTCGGTTACTTACAGCATATTCAAACTGCAGATTAAAATCCCGGTTGTTTGCTTGAAGTTGTCTCTCTACCTCTGTAAAGAAGAGGAAAAACATCAGGCATGCTTGCTGGTAAGCAGGCCAATAGAGATGTGAATGAAACATCAGAAAGTGCAAGCAGAGCTGATGAAAGGTAATGTCACAGGAAATCTGTGCTCTGGGCTAACAGCCCCATGTCAGGCAAATGAAGAGGCTGGTGACACTGATAGAGCAGCACTGCGGACTGGTATCACAGCACAGTTAAACTGTCCACTCACTGCAATACCAGCACTGGCTTAACAGGTTGTTCAGCTTCTCCTGGATAAGAACTACACTTAACTAGTGGTGCTCACTACTCCTACCCTGCTCCATCTCTTCACCCTGAAGTCTCTGGAGCTGTTGCCATCAGGTTACTGTTAGTGCCCTTTCTCCAGTACAAGTGAATCTCCTAGCATCATCCCACAGATGGGACATCACCACCGTAGCTATCATGAAATCAGAAAGTACTGGAAGGGATTTTGAAAGACCATCAGATCTATCCTCTACCTCCAGACAGCATCGTGCCTGTCACTCCCAATAAATGTCCTAGAAAGCTTCAGTGATGGCTGTTGCTCAGGCTGCTTATTTCCAGGACTGCAGTGTCCTTCTCCTGGGGGGATTTTTTCTCCCACTATTTAACATAAAAGTCATTACTCCAATTTAAATAAATTGTGTCTTCTCCTGGGATAGTCAAATGTGCTCTTCTACTCCCCCTCGGTTCCTTGTGCTACTTCCCTGGGACACAGCTCAGACAAGTTCTTTACGTATTTAAGGCTGTAATGCCTTACTGTAGCATTCTTTTGCCAAGGGTAAGCAACTCCAGTTTCTTCAGTCACTTTTACAGGTCAGTCAGTCAGAAGTAGCATCACTCTTGTGGCTCTCCAGTGAGCTTCCCAGGTAATTCACCTCATTCTAGATGCACAGTGGCCAACATGGGCCATAGTTTGCTGCTGAAGCCTTACCAAGCTGACCAAAGCATAAGAGACACTCCACCTATCTTGTAGACAATGTGTATGTGACATAGGAACTCAACTAGAAGTAGTTTAAAATAGTATCTTTAGGCACCACCAGCACACAGCTGATGGCGCTCCAGAATATGATCCATTTTGCCAGACACTTTCTGGCAGAGCTAATGCCTCATCAAGCAATGCAAATCTGTCATTTGTCCTTGCTGAACTGCACCCAAAGATTTTCAGGCTATTTCTCCAACTAGTCAATTCTAATCCTATCTTTCAGTGTGCTTTTAGCTCCTGCCAGCATGGTGCCATTTGCACATTTGCTAAGTGTGTTCTTTGTTATGCAAGCCGTGAAGTAGAAGAAAATATTGAGTACCAGACTCAGTATACATCCCTGATGAATCTGTCAAGTTTCATAATCAGTCATTGATAACTATTGTCAGTGCATTTTGTTTTCTAGTACTCACTGTATGGTGATTCTACCTCAAGCATGTATCTCCCGTTTACTTGTAAAAATGCCACAAGTGAGAGTCAAGATACATGACAGTTACCTAAGGCTTTTTCTCTAGCCCTCTGGCTACTGCTAATACAGAATTCATTTTGGTTTATTGCAGCTTTTCATGAGTGCTGACTGTTAGTCATCTCTTTCCCACAAACGCACAGTTACTTTGAAGTGGTTAGTTAGATTATTTTAGCCTTCACCAAGAAGTCAAGCCAATATATCTATAATTGCCCAGGTTTTCTTTTTGCCCTGTTTCAAGATAGATGCTGTGCTTGCTCTCTTCCCTGTCTTTCAAACTTTACCTGTCTGTGCATCAGAAACTCTCAAAGGCAGCATTGCTTCAGGCTATGCTCTACTTCTAGCCAACCTGTTCCCACTCTATTTCAATGCAAAGCCTTCCACCTTCTCCTGTCCTTCTAGCAACTATTATGTTAGATGTCTAAATAAAACAACAGAACAACACAGCTATCGATCCCTACCTCCCCACCCCCCTTCCCCCCAAAAAAAGACATTTCCCAGATTTCTTAGCATTATTTGCTAGGCTTTTTTTCACTGAATAGCAGACATAAGCCATCTTTGATCTCCCTCTTACTAGGAGTGTTACAGAACCCCAGAGATCCCAGCTCCTACAGAACAGCTTTTATTGCCCTTTATATATAGAATTATAGAATCATAGAATACTTAGGGTTGGAAAGGACCTTAAGATCCCTGATAGCTTTTTCTTGCTTTAAGCAAAGCAAGACGAGCTCTTTCTTGCCTTTGCCACACAGTTTGTGCTGGATAAAACAAGCTACTTTGCACCTTCTAGGGGCATCCTTTCTTTGCCCAAAGTGAATGAGGAGTCTGTGATTTTCCTGTTTCACTCACACTTCTAAGCCTTTCCCTGGAAGGTGGTAACTTTTACCTGCCTTTCATATCAAGTATATAAGGAAGTGACAGCTCTGCTTAATTCTCCCTCAACCCCAGATTTTCTTCCCATGAGATTTCAGTTACTAGTTCTTCGCATTTACTGAAGATTTCCTTCTTGAAGTCCATTTTAAACACTTTGCTATTGTCACTTTTTCCTAAGTATCATACCATCATTTCATAATCATTCCTGCTTACACTCCCTCCTGCTTTCACCAGGCAGCTCCTCCCTGTTGGAGGGAAGCAGTTCCTCTTTAGCTCCAAAAATCACCCACCTCTGCACCAAAATGCTGTGCCAGCTGCACAGGTCATGTCCCCCTAAGTTCCCCTCCAACTCTGCCTCTGCATAGCCAGAATTCTTCATTTATCACCATTCCATGTTTCTCAGAAAACTATGTTTTGGTTTGGTTTGGTTTCTTTCACAGAACACTTTCCTTCTTGGTTTGCCATGCCTATCTTTACCCTTGTAGCATTACTCAGAGATTTGCAATGTGTTCATCTCTTTCTCCATGCTGGATCTCAGCACATAGACATACAAGGAAAACCTCTGTTACTGTTCCAGAATAAAGAAATAATTCTTTTCTATTAATATTCCAGCCTCATGAGCTATCTCAGCACGTGTCTATTACACCTATTAAATGATGTGTTAAGAAATCTAGTTCTTCCTGTTTATTCACTCTTGCATTAGCAAGTGTCTAAGCTGTTCTGTGCATTGAACTTCTATCCTTCCTCCTTTCCTTCCAATCACCCTATAAGTAAAACATCACCCCCCCTCCCAATTCTTAAGCCCTTTTCCAGATCAACATTGTTTTGTCTCTGTGAGCTGTTTGCATCAAGGCCTCAAATTACCAATGTAAAGCTTTGTTAGCAGGTAAATGTGGTTTTCCCCCTCTTCTGGCACATCTAGCTGCATCAGGCATTTTCGAATCAGCTCCCATCTGCCCCAACTCAGTGATTCAGACCAACCACAGAGGCTTCATTCAAGACCTTCAAAGTGCTTAATCCTTCACTGCTTTCCTCAGACACATATTTCTCATCTTTCACAATAGGAGAACAATGTACAGGGAGATCAGAGTAACTTGTCTGGTGTCCCAGAGGAAAACAGAAGCAGAGCTAAAGAGGTCCAGGCCTGCAGGGCTTCACCTATTGTGTTATGTGCCCCTTCAGGAATTTTTCTGAGAGCAACCAGTATTATCTAAGCAGTCAAAAGATAAAGCTATTTGTTAAAACCAGAACTTCCCAACACTCACACATTTCCTCCCATACAGTAAGTGCTACTCTTTTCCCCTCCCCAGGGTCTCCAAGTCTAGTCCTGGAATAAACAACGCAGAAAAGATAAACGGCTTTAATGTAAATAGAATAGATGACAAAGCTTGAAAACCTACCAGGCTAGAGAGGCACATTCACAGAGCCCAGGCAGAGGCAAAACTGTTTGCATGCACCATGCTCTTAAGTGGAGTAGCACAGGCAAACAAACCAAAAACTTGCAGCAATGAGATGAAATGAAAGGCTGATTCTCACAGGGGACACCACCACCATCCATGTTGCTCCCAGCCAGCAGGCCTGCCCAACTCTCTCACCAGAATGAGCTACAGAAATGCATGACTGACAGAGAGGCACAAAGACATCCAGAACTGCTAATCTAGGCTAGAGCCCTTTGGGTACCTATTCCCTTGCCAGCGCATGAGACGCAGGGCACGGCAGAGCCTTGGCATCATGCATCAGCTCCTGAAAGTCTTTAAGGTCCTCAACGACTTTCTGTTTTCTGTAAGCAGGGCAGCCCTCAAGGGGACTGCTCGCAGAAACAGAGATCCATGTGCTACTGGCAGCAGCTGGATATGCCCGAGCAACTTTGCTCTTCCCAGCTCACTGGGGGAGTGAGGAGCTGTTCTCCTTCCTTAGCCTGCTCCAGGGTGCATGTGGCCATGGAAGAGGCACTTAACACATGCATTCGAATTCAAGGCTCTCACATGCTCCCAGAAACAAAGAACGTGTGTATCTGCTCCGGTGAGGAAAGAAGCCTGGCTTGTCACCATGGGGAGAGATGCACTCTCCAAGAGGAATGGCTTTTATGTGAGATACACAAATAGCTGCAAAGAGTTTAGGGATGGCACAGAAACATGAAGCAGTTCACATTAAGCAGTGATCTTAGAAACAACAGCAAATGGAACTTACTCAAAGTATTGCCCTCCTGTGACTGATCATACAGTACCTAAGGGCAGGTTTTCTAAGACAACCCATTTCTGAAGGCTCCAGCTGTGAACCTGGTTCAAAACTGAATGAGGTCTCTGGCCTGCTGTAGCCATCCACCTCCCTCAGAGGCAGTGTAAAGAAGGCGAAAATACAAGGAATTTTCATTTTCCTTACTTGATAACAGCCAATACCTTTGGTTAAGGCAAGAACCACCACAGTGAATTGCAAAGGGCACCTCATCCAACATCAGGAGGCATGTCCTCAGGCTAAACCAAAGGAGAACCATCACTGACCACATGCACAGGGCAATGTTGCCTCAGTGGTTTTATCTTACTGTTGCGCCTCCTAAACCAGCAGTTCTTAACTATCAAGACAGCCAACTCTTGTTTTTTTCTGGAACTGTCTGGACTGAAATAAAGCCTCTTGGATGATCACAGTAAACAAAAAATTAGGGAAAGTC